AAGGGTCCCCAGAGGTCCCCGTGTCCCCACATCCCCAAGCGTCCCCAAAGACTTCCCACATCCTTCAAAGTCCCCAAAGTGTCCCCAGAGGTCCCCAAAGGGTCCCCCCACACCCCCCATCACCCCCTCCCCCCCCGGTGTCCCTGCAGTCGGTGGAGCTGCGCGAGATGCCGAGGGAGGGCTCCGATGGGGAATATCTGCCCGTGGAGGGGCACGGCCGCGCCGCCTCCATGCCGCGGCTGCCAGCCGACAACCAGGTGAGGTCCCTGGGGGGGACACGGTGCCACCGCCCGGCTGCTTGGGGGGGACGTGGCTCTGGGGGTGGCTTCAGCATGGCTGCAGCTAAAGGGCCGGGCGGGGGATGTGGGGACGGTGGCCCCTGCATGAGGACGGGCATCGGTGGGCAGTGGTGTCACTGATGGCCACCAAGGTCACTCGTTGGCCACCAATGTCACCCAATGGCCACCAAGGTCACCCAACGGCCACCAAGGTCACTCATTGGCCACCAGCGTCACCAATGGCCACCAACGTCACCCAACGGCCACCAACAACAACCGGTGGCCCCCAAGGTCACCCACTGGCCACCAGTGGCCACCAAGGTCACTCGTTGGCCACCAACGTCACCCAATGGCCACTAAGGTCACCAATGGCCACCAACATCAACCAGTGGCCCCCAAAATCATCCATTGGTCCCCAAGGTCACCCAATGGGCACCAGTGTCACCAGTGTCCACCAAGGTCACCCAATGCCACCAACATCACCAATGGTCACGAGGGTCACCAGTGGCCTCCAAGGTCACCCAATGGCCACCAAGGTCATTCATTGGCCACCAACGTCACCCAATGGCCACCAACATCACCCAATGGCCACCAATGCCACCAGTGACCACCGGTGTCACCAATGGCCGCCAACATCAACCAGTGGCCCCCAGAGTCACCCATTGGTCCCCAAGGTCACCCAATGGCCACCAGTGTCACCAGTGGCCACCAGCGTCACCCAATGGCTTCCAAGGTCACCAGTGGCCACCAGCATCAACCAGTGGTCTTCAAGGTCACCCCGTTGGCCACCAAAGTCACCAACGGCCACCAACATCACCCAATGGCCACCAAAGTCACCAACGGCCACCAACATCACCCAATGGCCACCAAGGTCACCCAATGGCCACCAAGGTCACCATTTCCCCCAGGAGACACCTAGGAGGGGACGGTGGCCACCAGCGGCCCCAGAGAGGCTCGTGGCTGCCCCCCACCCGCATGCCTGGCGCTGGGTTTGAGGACACGCAGGGGGGGCTCAGCTGGGGGGCTGTGGCTGCTCTGCCCATCGCTGCTGTCGTGCGACCCCCCCCCCCCCCCCCCCCCCCCCCCCCCCCCCCCCCCCCCCCCCCCCCCCCCCCCTCACTCTGTCTCTCTTTTCCTGCTCTGTGGGCACCGCTGGGGCCGCCTCGAGCAGCGGAGGAAGGTCCGACCCCGAGGGAATAACCTCAGTGTAGGTACCAGGCGGCGCCCGCAGCCCCCCCAGGGCCTCCCGAAGCTCCCCCTGTCTGTCTGTCCGTCCGTCCGTCCCTCCGTCCATCCCTCCGTTCCTCACCTGCCTCTTATCAGCGCCTCCACGCAGACGTTTGTCCGTCCTGACCCTAAGGCTAA